TGTAGTATTTAAAATAAAATCTCATCTAAACGTATCTACCCAAATTTCTCCTTAAATTTATCCAAGATATTTAGAAGATATATATTTTGACTACTAAGATATATATAATTTTTAGACACTAAAAATGGTTAGAAGATATAAATATGACCTATATATGTCATAGTATAAATATAAATTAAAAGAAAATTTTAACTGAAAAAAGAAATAGAAGGATTACTATAGTAGTATGTCTAAATTTTATATTATTTAAAGATATTTTGTTAGTTATTTTTGGAACATTTTGATATAATTGGAAAAATACTATTGTGCAAGATATTTTAAAATAAAAAAATTCTAATAACAAATAATTATATTAATTTATATTCAGTATAAATATATGTACTTTATCTTGTGAGAATGATCTTGAATGCAACTAATAAAATTTGACCTTCAAATGTTATTTTACAGTTTTTTCATATTGTTCAGTAATATAAGTGTTTCTATATTATTTAACTGATTAGATTATTTGTATATTACTAAAATAGATGTCATATGTAGGAGTTAAATTGGAAAACTTTCCCTAACGATAATTAATAAAGAGTATAATTTACATTACTCTCTAAATTGTAAAGTATTAAAGATCATCAAATTTATATTGCAATCTTATCATACATTATATGTAAGACAACTGATTGTTATTGTTTTTTTTTTATCATCATGCATTACTATATTGCCTTTGTTATATATGAATATATATATATAAAAATTAAATTAACTATATACATAATGTTGAAACAATAAATATTTTATTTTTATGGTTAATATATAATATTCCAAAAAATATTTTTTTACAAAGAACTAGGAGCTTTCATGCGCCATGTGCAGAAATAATAATTTTAACTAATATCATTTTACATTTTGTAAAAATACTTTACATTGTGAGATTATTACTTTTATAGTTAACTTCACAAATTTTAAATCTTAATTTTTTTTTTTCATTTGTTTCTTTTGATTTGGTTTAGCTATATCAATTTAAAAAATTACTTATATAATAATTAATAATTATTTACTTAAAATATGTCTTTTATCCCTAATTTTAAGTATGTTTATACTTAAATAAATTCTAATGAGTTTTAAATCTTTTTTTAGTTAAAATACGTTAAAATGGTAAAAAAATTACTTAATGAACTACTAAATTTGTATATATTAGTTATGAATAATTTTTTATTTGATTAGGATTGCTAGGGCTGGGCAATCGGGGTCCCAATCGGGTTTCGGTTCGGGTTCATTCGGGTTTCGGGTTTTCGGATTCATGAATTTCAGCCCCATTCGGATATTATAAAAATTCGGGTCGGATTCGGTTCGGGTTTAGTCGGGTTCGGTTCGGGTTTAGTAACATGTCCAAGATCCGGTTGAACCCGAAATAGTTTCGGTTTCGGATACTAATCGGGTTATCGGTTCTAA